AAGGGAGAAACATGATCATGTTTTAACCAGCAATTGTGGTATAGCAGTTAGGCACTTTGCTATCGCATGCAGGGGACCTGTTCTCGTGTGGGGAGAATGTTTATCGAATATCTCAGCTTTTCTACTGGGATGTTTACCCCTTTCAGCCCTAGATGGCCCTGACAGGCAGGGTTGGACGCCCGCCTCCTAATTCATCTAAATTGTGTCGATGGGGTCGTAGACACCTACATAAATGTGTTTAAATAAGGCAGTAACACGAATACGCGGCCGTAACTTGGAGACATTGAATAATTCCTTATTAAAGTAAAATTGTTCTTGCATCCGTTCCGGGCATTGGGGATTGCCATGTTAGTGAGACAACTTCCTGGGGCTTCGCATATTGTGGTATTGTGGCCAGTTCCTTTCCACGCCGCCTTTACTTCCCCAACTCGAAGTCAGGTACTCATTAGTGCTGGGTGGGCAGGAGGGTCGAAAAAAGTCCGTGCTCGAACCGAGGCTCGAAGACAAGCGCACTAACCACTTCGTCACCGCACCCTCCAATTATTTCTTATTAGGCTGGGTAAAAAGCCTCCCGTTAAAAATAAATTCAAACCGTATCATACGCACAAATTATCAAAATTACAAAATGAACGGGAAGAGAAATGGAGAAAGTAAACATGTTGTGGTATTGTTAGTCACTGGTTACAATATATGCAAGAAAGTTGGGCCTATAGGTCACACCTAGAAGTACAAGACTTACACACGGAAGAGAACAACTACGCAATTTATAACGAAAACAACTGTTTAAAAATGTGATACTGCATCGGCTTGGGCAATACAATCCAATACGCTTCTGTTTCAGAAAAAAATATATCTCAGATGCGATTCATAACACCACTTACAACTTTTTTCCAGTCTGCAGGTGTGGTGAAGTTGAGAGGGGGTTTCTGGTTATACTCTCTCACGTTGTTGTGGAACTCTTCAATGTCAAGGTGAGGACTTGGTTTGACCACTAACAGCGAGCGGGCTCCTCGTATATTGGGCAGGTCATTGGAGTCGAACGTCCCTGTGGGGAGATAAGGTTGGGTGAAAGGGGAGATAATTGTTTCTTTTTTCTGTTTTCTACTGAATGAGGAAACTACCCGGGGAATTGGAAGTAAGAAGGAAAACGGGATGTCTTGGACGGTAAGAGGCAAAGGGATGAAGGGGTTTACGGGAAAATGTTGATTTGAATGGAGGAGAAGCAGGTGGTTTTCATTAAAGTGAAAAGAGATAGAAGGTTGAAAATGATAACAGTCCCGTCTGAATTTCACTGTATCCATGTACTGGAGTTTACAGAGAAAAGAAAGAGGATATGTTGTGGTATTGTTGAAGGCTGGTAACTGTTTTGAATATTGGTGTGTTTGTTTGCTTTCGGTATATGAGTTTGTTTGCGCTTTTTTGTCTTTTTATACCGTTATGCTTTTTCAGAGATGGGGTTGGATAGGAGGCTAACAAAACTGAGAAATGATGGTAAAGCATGACATTTACTTGTGTTTCGGACACTTCTGGGAGTATGTGTTTGTGCGCTCATTTTTGTGTGCTTATTTGTGAATGTGTGTGTGAGTATGTGTGTGTGTGTGTGTTTGTGTGTGTGTGTGTGTGTGTGTGTGTGTTTGTGTGTGTGTGAGCGTGTTGGCTGTCTGTGTGTGCATGTTCACGTGTTTGGAAGTGGACTACATTATGTAAGGTGTATAATATGTGTATCTGAATCTGTGTATATATAAGTTTGCGTATATGGCGTGTGTGTGTGTGTGTGTGTGTGTGTGTGTGTGTGTGTGTATGTGCGCGCGCGTTTGTGCGCGCGCGTTTGTGTTTGCTTGTGTGTGTGTGTGTTTGTGTGTGCGCGCGCGCGTTTGTGTTTGCTTGTGTGTGTGTGTTTGTGTGTTTGTCAATGTATTTGTGTCTGTGTGTTTGTGTGTGTGTATGTGTGTGTATGCGTTCGCATTTGTGAATCCACGGAAGAGCAAACAAGTTCTTACTTTTGAAATACTTGAAGGGCTCGTGTGCAATGTGCTCCAAGAACTCTACGTAGATGACCACGTACTGACCAGTGTCCAGAAGTCCTCTGTCGTTCAGGTTGATCATCATGTCCACCATAGCGTTCAGATAACCTAAGAACACGTACACTGTGCAGGAGGAAAGGCAGGGGTGGGGGTGGGGAAGAATGGAAATGACTTGAATTGCAACTTTGAAAAAAAAAGGGATTTAATACTTGTATATCATTGTATAGGTTTAACGCCCAGTTCAACACTGTATGTTTATCTGAGAGGAGTGACCTCCAAACTTAATGTCCAACTCCGATAAAGCCGAGTCAAATGGGAAATTCGTGTAAATCGCCCTTCCCAAAGATACAACAAGGGACCGAGCTGAGCTTTGAGCTCCCCAACCCATAATCTCAATATTACAAGTCCGGTAGCCTAATCACTCGACGACCGAAGCCCCTAGGGGAGAGGGCTAGGGGTTAAGTAAGAATGAAAATGGTTTATACCATCATTGTATAATATTCAGAAATGGCAGTAAAGTATTGTACGTGGGTTTAAGTCTCTTTCCAAATAACAGCCGTTCTAAGAGACGGGACCACTGAATTTTACATTCATCTTCGATAGAAATGAGCCAAATAGGCGGACAGCCTTGAAAACTTCCCGAATAACCCAAGGTCTAGAATGCCCCATCGGGGATTCAAACTACGGCCGTCCGCACCATGGCTCAGCATGATACTAGCTAAGTTAACAAGCGCTACATACTTTCGAAAAAGGTTCGATTACAGTGAGTTGTCTACAGACAGAATGCGATTTTTCAGTTAACAGGATCGTATGTGTAATGCTCTTTTTTTAAAAAGAACAATAGCAAAAAAAGCTTCATCAGATTGACTTGTTTGCCTTTTACTACGCCAACTTGCCTGTTTGAGAAGCCCCGTCAATGGAACTCATTTTCAGTATTCCCTTTAGGCATTATTAATAGTACGCTAATTTTAATCAATACTTGTTTGATTCGTTGGGTTCCCATGGTCGAGTTACGGCATGGCATCAGCCCAGCCAGTGAATGCACACATTAGACCACATTCGGGTCGAATAAACAGAATAATCTTAAACAGAATTTTACTTCTACAAAATTAAAAAGTATACCTCGGCTTTAGTATCATCTGCCATCCGTCGTTTTCGCTTTACCAACGTTATGTCAAATAATATGAATATGCATGTTTTAAAAGTACGCTATTTTGAAAACGTTCGAGTCGCATTCATACCTTCCCAGTGTTGGACATAAAGATTGCGCGCAACGTGAGCAAGAACATACATAAACCAAAGCATTCTGTGGAAATCAAAAAGAATTCTAAAAAATTAAATAAGATAAAAATGAATAGAACGACTCCCGCTGATATTTAAAGTCTGCCCAGAAACGGGATGCACATTCACCCCCACTACGGCCGTCGCTTTTCACTTCGATTTTGTCGCGTTTACAAAACAAATTGCAGACAAGTGTTCTCTTCTTCTCACCAAGGGCTCTGGTAGAGACAGTTTAGTATAACTGGGGTGCCACTGTAGGACTCAAAAGATGAAAGGAAAGTAGGGCACATGGTAAAGAACGTTCGCACGTGTTGTAATCGAAAAGCACACTGTGACGTAATAAGCAGGCGGAGACAAGGGTACGGAAAAAGACACTCGTGTGTACGACACCAACGCCAGTCATTCATTAAGATAAGCCCAGCTTCAGATAAATCAATAGCCATCTCTCGGAGGCCGTCACTCAAACTAATCTAATCGTCACGAAATTTGCTCCCCAGAAGTGGGGTGCTGACATTTTTGTTTGTCTTGGAAAACCTGACGATTTCAAAATAGAAGTTGTTAAGCAGTTCCGGATCTGGAATATTTGCTTTCTTAATTGAGTTCACGTCATCAATATTTTCAAATGCCTTTTTGGTATGTCTTGTCATGGAGCATAATTTTACCAAATCAGCTATGCTTTTGGAAATGGAAAGCGAGGCAGCTGATGTGGCGTCGTCAGTTTAAAGGAGAAAACCCTTGACTAACAATAAAGGTCGGAGATTCAATTTTGACAAGAGTCTAAAATGTTTTCCTTCATCTCGTACATTCCATTTGTGCAAAGTGACCTGTCTTGGAACAAGACAAGAGTTCCATTTAGAAAATGAAATGATCTAACAGTCTGTGTCCAGAGCACTTAAAAGTGTTAACAGCAAGCGAAGCAAAAACAAAAATAATATGAAGAAACACAAATATGTCTTGGCGTTAAAGGGACCGGGCTTGTTCCGAAACAAAGTGCCAGTGATTTTTAAGCACTTCTTTCAATATGGTTCGTTAATCCACACTAGAATGTTTGCTCGTTTAATTGCTTTTGATGTCAGCAACATTTCTGCAAAGCCGTAGAGAGTTTACTCTCTAGACGAAATCATCATAGCAATTTTCGCGAAAAACACACGACCGCAAAACTTGACAAAGCCAACCAATCGTGCAAACAGAACATTGGAAGGTATGGTATGGAATTGATTTAACACCTCTTTTAAAGTTATAAGCTGATTAATTTATAAGGCGGGAGCTCCGAATCAAACGCAACGGCTATATAAGAGGAGAGCCTTAAAAACTTTCTAAACTACCCCAGTTCAACAACTAGCCGATTGAGGGTTCGAACCAACAGTGAACAGTTATACGACTGGCGCCAGTGAACGGCTTAGAATTAAGCAAACACTGAACAGCAAACAACAGGAACTGGGTTTTGGGAGTCTAATATTTGTTCCGAGAAAACTGACATTGATTGCAAGACGCATTTCCTTACCTCTGCTGCTCAACTGTGGCCAATATCATTGTGTTTATGTCACCCCTACTGCACGTCGAGATATCTTGTTTCACAAAAGCATAACGCTTTTAAACTGTAATAAAGTAAGCTAAAGAGATGAACAACAAACAACTGGTTAACAGGGACAGTTTGTTTGCAGTGATTGTCATATTATGGAATAAAACTCTTCCGCATTATCTTTGGCAAGTTTGAATATCAAGAAAGTTTGTATTAGCGTGACGTCACACCTCTCATTTCCTCCACACTCTCCATACAAACAATTTCATCTGTAAAGGGGTAAAGTAGCAGCATAGTCCACTAAATTTTCATACTCAACGCCACAACACGAAATGGGTAGGGGTGGGAATAATCGAACATTAACGGGCGTTACGAACTTAACCTTAGAAAGGTTGAAAAGCCCAGCATTTTCCCTTTATAATTGTGTTGTTATTATTTTCGTGTTTGCTGATGCTGTTGTTGATGTTGTTGTGGATGTCGTTGTGGTTGTTTAAAACCGTGCTGGTGGGATAGTTGTAAAGTGTATTGCTCTCTATCCAGGTTATCCATACGTGGAAAACACTCATCCCCCCCTCCCTCCCCCCCCCCCCCCCCCATTGCCCCTTTAGGAGAGAAATAGCTCACTAACCAGTTCTATTAAGAGAAATACTATAGTAAAATCCACACTCCGCTTTGAACCGTGAGCTTGCAAGTGACAGGCCAAGTTTGTACCCTCTTTCCAAGCAGCAGAGAGCCAACATAATAATCTACTGTGCTCATCAAAATCTAAATATAACTGTTACTGCTGTGCATACGCCTCACCTGCGAGTGACAGGAGGACACCACTGGAAGATCCAACATCATTTCTTTCCCAACGTTGTTTTTCTCTATCAAACTTGCTATTTCCCTGCAACTTAGTGATAGCTATTGTACCCATATGCTTCTTTTTAACAGAAGTTAACAAACAAACAAACAAACAAACATCTGGTCCGCAGGTGGTTAAAAGACCGCACTGGTAGGTCCTGCATATTCTTTTCTTCCCCTCTGTCTCTGTACGTCAGCCGTACAAAATTACCCTGTGCAAAGTGACCCAGTCGATTTACTTCTCTTTCCACAAACAAATCAACCTCTGGTCTTAAAGTAGTTAAAGGGTGCCACTGGCTAGTCCTATATATTTTGTTTCTCCCTTTATTGTTTCTGACTGAATGTCTAACATTCTCCACAGCACAAAATGCTATTGTGTCGATTTACAGTCTAGTGAAAATCGTCCATTCACTGTCGAGGGGAAAAGTGGTTGTCTTAGACTGGTTGACGTCTTTGATAGAGTCATTACAGTTAGAACGCACGTAGGTTGGGGGGGGGGGGGGCTGATAGAAAGTGAAATGGTCAAGGTAATTATCTTGGACAAGTAGCATTTTCAGCTGGTTAGTCTACTTCATTTTACCCCAAACAAATCATAAAACTTGTGGGTGCGTGATAACACTAAGACTTAGGTCTACATTTTTTAAAAATGGAAACAAACAAACAAACAAACCTCTAGTCTCGATGTAAGTCTCTTGTACAATGTTCGGGAATGGGTTGCCAGCCACCAGCGTGAGATGAGGCTCTGGGTAGTCCATGACGTGATTGATCGTCATGTTGTATTCCTCCGCGAGCTCTTGGAGTCGGACAGCCACAGACTCGTACGTCTTACTGGGGACGAGAACAACAATAAAATGCTTGTTGAAAAGATGGAGAGACTTTACTCCCTCATTGACACAATTCAGGTCACTAAGGGTGGGGCCTGCTGAGACCCTATTTGCCAAGGCCACCCTGGGCTGGTTGGGATACATCAGGGTTCGTCAGGGCGTTATACTGATGACCAGTGCATTCGAAGAGGAGAATATTTCTCAAGAAAATTAGAAACTTTGAAGGTTCAGGTGGCTTGTGGTTTCTGCTATGACCAATGAGGCCAATCTGCAGAGAAATATTTGCTACATTTTGAGCATTTAAGAGCTCCACTTGTGGAGGTGCTCATCTTGCGGGCTTCTCTCTTAATTTTAGCATTTTTAATCCGCGAAACTTCATACGTTTAATACTACACATCATCTAAGCAAATACTGCACTTTTATTTCTAAACTAAATTTAGGGTAAACTTTAGAGTTATGCCATAAAACGACATTGATTCGAAACAGAACGCTCCTCTCCTTAGTCCACCATTATACCCACTGAGCTCATGGAGCACGCATACTGGTTTGTCTCCTTATTCGACAATAAAACTGCTAAATAATTAAGAGGTCAGACCTCCTATTTAAATCCCATCATTATTAATTTAACGCCATATTCAAAATAAATTTTATTCATAAAGCGGAGCAGACATACAAAAGCTCAATTCAATTTCAATTTTCGAAACCCATGCTCTATTGGGGGTGTTTCAGAAATGTGGATTCAACGTTAATTATTGTTGTTACTTACTGAATTCAATTCAAAGAACCCCCGCCCCCCAACACACACACCTAATAAAACATTTAAAGAAAATCACAACTGGAAAAGTAATCGAAAGGGAAAGCGTGAGGAAGTTGAATCTGAGACGGGTGGTATACAAAGATTTAAAGAGGTAGTTGGCGGTCGGCACTGCTTAATCCTACTTATTTCCTATCCCTCGGCGGTTTCTGTCAAACTACATATCATTGATTTTTCCCTACACTACAATATGATGGTGGATATTTTTCCGATGGAATTCTCTTCACTTAAATTTTAAAAATATGATAAACTGTGATTTTCTTCGACGTGTCCTTTCAAGCTTGTTATCATCTCTATCTGGTTCAATCAGAAACCGGCCTATGTCGTTTCGACTTGCAGTATCCAACGCCATGACTCAATTCAGCTCGTGTACTCAAGCATTGAGCGACTTGGTAACGAAAGTAGACAAGTAATGTGATAGGGAAAAAAGTCCCCAGCACAGCACCGGCGAGAACGTTTCACGCTGACCGAAAATCAGCCCTCCTCACGCGACCGAGGTAGTAGGAGGTCCTTTGCGGGTTAACATGCAAATACTCTGAGACAGACCAGCACGAGTGCTAGAGACTAGGGTAATAAGAAAAGAGAGAGGGGGTAACAGTCGTTGGTGCTAGCTTTTCCATCAAGTACAAGATTACTTTTTTGTTTTAAAACATCCCCGGCAAAAATCTCTATGAAACTGAACACCGCACCGACAAACAACCGTCACCGCCTCCCCAGTCCACTTTACTGAGAAAGACCTAAATAAAATACTACTCGAAAACAATCAAAACCAGAGTCTCTAAGAAGATACCAGAGTCATATAAAAGAACACATAAGCAGAAACCCTGTTCCCACAAAGAAACAGAAAAACAGGAGCATAAAAAAGAAGAAACGCGAACAAAAAAGACAATAACCTATTAATAAAAGTTCTGTTGGTCATAATTCACTATAACATAATAAAGCTATTTTCGATCCTTCTAGTCACACGCACTCCATTTGAAATTGCCCAGGTTACTTGAAATATTACGTTCCCCACCCCCTCTCCCTGGCCTTCCTTTTTCACAGTCTATCTGCCTAAAATTCGACCATTGTCTTTGGACAGCTATCAACACCCCTTCCCTCCCTTTTCCTTTTCCTACTAGATTACACTTACATGTCATGACAGACGTGTAACTAATAGACTGATAGAGACACACAAATAGGAAGAGCGGTGGAGAGTGACAAAGAGAGAGAGAGAGAGAGAGAGAGAGGAGAGAGAGAGAGAGAGAGAGGAGAGAGAGAGAGAGAGAGAGAGAGAGAGAGAGAGAGAGAAAGAGAAAGAGACGAGAGAATAAAGAACAAAAAAACACCCTCTCACACACATACTAACACTTTCAATAGCACACATACCCACACAAGACACAACACACACACACACACACACACACACACACACACACACACACACACACACACACGCATACAGAGAGAGACACAGAGAGAGAGAGAGCGAGAGAGAGAGAGAGAGAGAGAGAGAGAGAGAGAGAGAGAA